TTTGAATCCCTACTTCACCACCTGTGCTTTATGGATCATATGACCTGAGTACCCAAGCATTCCTGGGTTCCCAATCCAGGTTCAGATATGGGGCTGTGACCCAAAAGATGACATTGTGATTTGTCTGGACTGAGAGAATTCAGATGGGGGAGTGATGGTTTTCCAGCTGCAGATCTTATTACCACAAAGTGGGTGGTTTGAAATGACAACATTTATTCATTCTCTCACACCAAGGCCAGAAATCCTCAAACTAGGTGAGGCCATGCTTTCTCTCTGAGTGTCTGGAGAGAATATTTCCATGCTTCTGCCCCCATGCCCTAGTGTCTTCTGGCAAAAAAAGACATGACATTCAAATCTCGCTTTGGGTCTCGCAGAACACCAACTGGCCCAATCTCTCTGTGCCCGTGTCTCCCCGGGGGTGCCCCTGCTCCTTTCTTCTTGATAGAAGGAGGTACCTCACTGACTTCCCAGCCCACCCACAACTCCCCCCCCCCCACCCCCGCCGCAGTATGATCTCTTCATGTACTTCTGAACTATATCTGCAAAGACCCTGTTTCCAAGGTGGACCACATTCATGTACCTCTGAACTACATCTGCAAAGACCCTGTTTCCAAGGCGGACCACATTCACAGGTACCAAGGATGGAATTTCAGTGATAGTTTTGGGGGTGGGGTTCGCAGGACAACAATACAACCCACAGCTCCCCTCAGACGAAGACTTTCCCACTTGGTTTCTCTTTTGTTTGTTTTGTTTTTTGGGTCACATCTGGCATTGCTTAGGATTTACTCCTGGTTCTGCACTCAGGAATCATTCCTGGGAAGACTCACGGGACCATCTGTGGTACCAAGGATCAAATCCTAGTCAGTCGCATGCAAGAAAGTGCCCTATTAGCTGTACTATCTCTCCAACTCCTCTCTCACTTTGTAAGCAAAGTCAGATAAGTCGGCCAGGCTTACTGAGTTAAAAATAAACAGAACCTGAAGATAAAGACCAGCAAAGGTGGGTCGTGATTTCTTGACTCCCTAGAATGCAGTTATCTCCCAAACTCAGTCGACCTCTTAGAATTCCCAGTAGTATGATTTACAAAACAATTTTTCATGTTCAAACATATTAGTGTTGAATTTCTGTCAGTTAAAACCAAGGGTTCTAATTAATATGTCAAAAAGACATAAAAGAAAATAAATAAATGCCCTGTCATGTGAGTTTAAAGCTTGCAGCAGTCTGGGTGTAGAAAGGAGGATGTGGCAGACAGAGAATCGACGGGCCTTGAGCTGAAAACTGCCAGCTTTAAGTGATGGTTACAGAAAAGTGTGCTATTATATTCTCTTGACATTTACATATGTGTGAAATGCCCTTCTCTCATGGGAAGTGAGGTGAGGTTTGAGGCCACAACCAGCAGTACTCAGGGCTTCCTCCTGGTTCTGCGCTCAGGGGTCACTCCTAGCACTGTTTAGGGGGCCATATAAGGTGCCAGAGACGGAATCCACCATACTATCTGATTCCTATAATTTTGAAACTTTCCAAAATAAATTAAAAAACAAGTTCCTCTGGCCTTATGCATCAACCCAAATCAAGGCAAAGCAGGTAGACTTACACAGAAACCAGATGTTAGCAGGCCTCTGCAGGAACTCTAATTTGTGAAAACATTAGCAGAAAGGTTCTTCACAGCAGGCATAGAGTTCTTGATACTACAGCCAAGGCTCCCCTAGGATGCATCTAACCCATCTAAGTCTGTCCAAGGCAGAAGTATCTAGCCCTCAGTACTCATGATAACCAAGAGCTCTGGCAGACGCCCACCACCTCGCTGAGCTGACAGGGTCCAACATGCAGCTTCAGCTTCCAGGGGAGCATGGGCTATACAGTGCCCCACTGCAGGAATCCATGTTACCTCCTGGTTAATCACCCCCCAAAGCAGCTATTATCCACAGCCAGCAATAAAGCAGGGGTGTGGCTCAGATGAAAGATAGGGTTACTTCTCAGCATTCTCTGACAAGAACGGTTGCTCTGACACAGCGTAAGTCCTGGGGCTTGTGAAACATGGTGATCTGAACCTTCACAGTAGTTTGAACACCCCCTTTTCTAGCACCCATCAAACTCTGAGACTCAAGTCCTCGGTCCAGTTGTCTATCAGAATTCCTTAGAAGCTTTTAAAAAAATTCTGATGCCAGCCGACATTCCAGACCAATTCAACCACAAACTCTGGGTATAGGACCTAGGTATCAGTATTCTGAGGTTCCTTTATGGTTATCATGAGCACTGAGGGCTAGATACTTCTGCCTTGGACAGACTTAGATGGGTTAGATGCATGCCTCACTTCCCAGACATCTGCCACTGGTCATACCAATCCCACTTTCAGGGACGCTCATGTGAGCAGATCTCATTCAATTAGAAACTATTTCTTTCCAGTTTGTAGGAATGTGACCCTTGGAAAACTCAGGGTTTTGGGTCTGGAGCAATATCATAGTGGGTAGGGCATTTGCCTTGCACACAGCCGACTCACGTTCAATCTCCAGCATCCCATATGGTCCTCCATACACTGCCAGGAGTAATTCCTGAGTGCAGAGCCAGGAGCAACCCCTGAGCATCACTGGGTGTGACCAAAAAGCAAAAAAACAAAAAGAAAAAAGAAAAACCCAGGGTTTAGAGACACCATTTTCCCAGATAGTTAAAGTTTTGCATATAACTATTCAGGGGTTTCCAAACAGGGTTTAGGGGTCCCAGAATTCACTCTTGTTGACCCTCAGTCACCTTGCCAGACAACTCCATGCTAGATCCCAATGATGCAATGTTGCATGGGTCCTGAAAGTGCCAGGGGTCACTAGCACTACCTCTGGTAGTGCCTGATGGAACTGGGTAGCATGAGGTGCTGGGGATAGAGCCTGGGTGTGCACCTGACCCTGCATGTAACTTTTGATGCCTCAGAAAAAAACTACTAATGGCTTGGCTGGAAATCTTCCTTACACAACAGCTTATTAACCACTATTTCAAGTGTCATGTGAAAGATATGGTGTATTCTGACAAATAAATTAAACAGAAGAAAATGTTATTAAGAAAATTACAGGGAGAAAAGAAAGATGGCAGCCGCATGGGAGCCTTGTGGAGAGCCAGGTATGAGCCGGGGGTGTTGGGATGACTAAAACCTCATGGGAAGGGGGGCGTTCTGGCCCGTCCTTCACGCCCTACCGAGGTCACCAGTTGCCCCCCGACGAGCGGTTCTCCGGCACGGCCACGGCCCCAGAAGCACAAGGACTTAATGCAGAACCCAGCAGCTTGGAGCAGAAAAGTGAACAGACTACGCGTTATCCACGCCATGATGTCTGCCCGGAGGGGAAAGGGTGTTGCTCCCTTCCGCCCTCCCCGCTCTGGAAAGAAAGATGGCAGCATGGGAGCCTTGTGGAGAGCCAGGTATGAGCCGGGGGTGTTGGGGCGACTAAAACCTCATGGGAAGGGGGGGGCGTTCTGGCCCGTCCTTCACGCCCTACCGAGGTCACCAGTTGCCCCCCACGAGTGCCTCTCCGGCACGGCCATGACTCCAGAGCACAGAAACCAATCTCTTAATTATCTGACTTTCAGTAGAAATACTTCCAGGGTTAATAAGTAAAATAGCAGAAATCCAAAACCGCGCGGCCGCAATTGCAGCCATGCGACATCATTTAATTCTTGAACCCAGCTGTAGAAAGCAAATCATTTCACAATGCTTTTTCAGCATGTCTGATTGGGGGGGCGGGGGTAAACTCTAAACAATAATGGTGCATCTTTTATCGAAACAATGAATCTAGTCAAAGTAGATAGAGTGTTAACTAGAATTCATCTGCCTCACAGGCATTGGGAGGGGTGGGGGGTGGGGGTTTATTGGGGTTCTTCGTGGTGAAAAATAAGTATTGGTAAAGGGAAATGTGTTTGATATTTGCATTACCGAGACCTAAACCTGAAAGCTTTGTAACTTTTCCCACAGTGATTCAATAAAATAAATAAATTATAAAAAAAGAAAAAAAGAAAATTACAGGGAACGGAAATATATTTACAGTACTGTTTTTATCAGTATGACACAGTTACATGCTCGGTTTGCAAAATGAATCTTCCATCAGTATCTACATAGTGGTACAAAACACCATAGAAATTAGACATTTTACTAAGTGTACATAAAAAAATGCAAAGATCCTGGAGACGTAAATTTATTTTTCTGCAGATAGAGAAATTCATGCACAGATAATACTGGTTGGAAAAAATCTATGTCTAAATAAGCAACAGACAGACCTAACCATTCCTGGGTCAACTCAATTTCTAGAACATCATGGTTAAACATCACCAACTTGTCTGAGAACAACAGCAATGTATTCTCCTAGAGTCTGGAAATGCAAGAGCAGGCTATGCTCACACTAAAGGAATATCTCAGACTCTGACACTTCCCTGTACCCAAGTCATGTTGGTTTCCACAAAGAATAGGGACACAGGAGTTCGGAGGCAGTACTGACAAGCTCCACCAATATCAGATCACTCAGAAATGCAGGCAGCTTGCTCCCTCAGGAATGCCTGCCTGCCATGTTTCCTCCTTGGAAAAAGCACTGTAGCCCCCCACTCCTTTAATATCTACCTGGCAGTCATACAGTTGTCACCCTGACATACCAACATGTTCTTTTAAGTGCCAGAGACAGGATACCCTACCCCCTGCTCACTCCTTACAGCCTTAGTTTTGAACCTTTCACTCTAACCCATTTCTCTGCCTTCTTTTGTCCATTCATCCCATTGTTCTCTGGTGCAGTTCACTTCTATCAATGCCTTCTCCATCTGACTGCTGATCCTGATGTTATCTAAATGTGTCACTACCTTGCAGTAAGACGCAGATCGGTTCCCTTTGCCTGGGCTCATACTGTGTCCTCATATAGCCACCTTGTCATAATTACCCCAATTCTTCTAGAATCAACTAGAAAGCAACAGGGCAAAGAATAGACCGAATAGACCAAAATGATTTCCGTGAATACAGTTGAATCTATTCTTACCTTCTGCAAATGGTTCCCATTCATAAAACCGGCCCATGAATGGTTTGTTGTTGTATGAGGCACACTGAACTTCCCGTATACTTCTACTGCTTTCTGGACAGGGCTAATGAAGAGAACAGTAAAGATATAATCAGTGCCATACACTTTCAGAGCCAGGCCAGCACCCAGGAGACTCCTCCAACTTTAAATCGTAACTCCTATCCAAAACAGGAACTCTGAAAAGGTGCTGATCATTAGAAGCAGAGGTTAAGGGCTCATGCCACGTGTACAAAATCAGAATCTCTTGGAAGGACACTGGTTCTTTTACAAACTTTCCAGATTAACTTTTTTGCACACTATCATTCGAAAATCACTAACAAGTCTGCTCCTGAAAACTGGCTTACCCCCTTAGAAGTTACTTCCACATATTTGGCTTTGTTGTGGCCATTCCTGTGTGTAGAATAATATCTATCCACCAATAAGGACCACATAGAAGTTCTGCAGATGTTTCACAAAAGCCTCAACTGAGGCAGGAAGAAGCATTCAACCATTGAAAGCAGAGACTCAGTATAAGCAATCTGGAACCACCCAGGAAGTTTCATTCTCTCCTCTCCATTTCTTCTAAATTCTGGTCTAAATTCTCTCCCCTCCTTCTGGCCCTTACTGTTACCAGTTGCTCCCAGCTGCTAGCATGCAAGATAATCACCTAGAAAACCCTAGGAAAGAGAGACTTCTAGATCTCTCTCATAAGGATGATTATTCAGTAAGTCTGGGACGTGGTCCCAAAAGTTGCTTGGTATCAATTTATCCAGGTACTTCTGACACATGAGACTTCCCCCCTCAAATCTCTAGCACCCCCTAGTTTGGTTCTTTCCTAACTAGTTTCTTACTCTCCAGGTTGTTTGTTTCTTAAATGACCAAAGAATGACAAAACAATGATTATTTAAGTGTGAGACAAACACGAAGATTAGAAAGTCTCATTCATATCACAGATAAAGGCAAGATCTAGCTCAATATTGCCCGAAGTGGGTATATTTCTCTTCAGGCATCACTAGAAGGATGGGGGTGAGGAGGGGTAGCCTCAGATAAAATGAGGATGGCTCTTTCTGTTCAGGGCATTGAGTGATTTGCTTTCCTGAAAAGGGAGCAGTAGGCCAAATCAGTTTGGGAACCTCTGATCTAGTTTTAAAAACTCAGCACTTAGCAACACACCATGATTGCTGCAAAAAAGAACTACCAAGGGGGTTGTTAAAATGCAGGTTCTCAGGCCTCACAATGGTTAAATTTGGTGTTTCTCTGTGTGTGTGTTTGTGTGTGTTTACAAGCACACACACTTTAAAAACTAGAAGGGAAAGGGATATGATCCCTTACATAAATTTAAAACCCTGAATATGAGAGCACTGAGCAGGACAGAAACAAAGAGAGGAGAGCAGGAATAGAGCAGAGTTTGCCTTGCACGCTGCCTACCCAGGTTCAATTTCTCCATCCCTCTCGGAGTGCCTGGCAAGTTACCGAGAGTGCATATTCGATATGCCAAAAACAGTAACAACAAGTCTCACAATGGAGACGTTACTTATGCTCGCTTGAGCAAATCGATGAACGGAGGACAGTGCTACAGTGCACAAGAATATGAGAAGTCGCTGGAATAAACCACTAATAAGATAGTTCCAAGTCCTGAAGGATTTATAAACAAATCTATTGCATGTTCCAGGTCTGCTGGAAGAAGAGGAAATAAAACAGGTGGAAACAAAAACATCTCACTTGATAAAGCACGGGGGCGGGGGAGGCTGCTGCCACAAACACCCAGGGCAGTCTTACACTGCTGCAGCCGGAGCCAGACCATATGGAGGGGGCAACCCAGCATGGGGAGGGATGACAGGACAGGAAAGGGCCAGCTGGCTGGGCTGCATAGGCTAGGGCAGGTGCCCTCACAGAGGCTGACAGGCGAGTCAGCCTTCTGGAAGCCTTCCAGGGGCTATTGCAGTCCAGGACAGGCCTGCTTCAAGATGCCAGAAGTCTCCAGGTAAGTCTCAGATAAAGACACTTCTCAGAACCCATTAGCCTGAACCAGAGTTTGACAAGGATGGGCTCAGTCAGGTGGCTTGGGAGAAGCCACCGCCTCTTGCCAAAAAAAAAAAAAAAAGAACTTCTAAGGGGATTGTTAAAAATGCAGGTTCTCAGACCTCACCTGGGGAGGAGCGGGAAAGGGCTCAGAAAGAGGAGCTCCACACCAGCCTCCTGTGTGATTCTGGGGCAGCCAGTCTGGCACCAAGAAGGTGCAGCAGCAATTAAGTGTCACGCCCAAGACTCAGTCTCACTCCAATTATTTCATGGGCACTCAGTGTGAGAGCAGAAGAGAATACAGTCCAGGCCTCTTTAAGTTACAGATGGGGAATGGAGCCTGGAAAAGTGATGCTGCCTGCCAAAGCGCCAGAGTGACAGAGACAGAGCCCAGCACGCCCGCTGCCTGCATCCACCCTGGTCAGAACTGGGCATCAGCTACAGGGCAGCTCTGCAGATGGACAGGGGCAATAAGCCTTGTTCCTCCAGTAAGCGCAGGCAATTCAAGGTGGTGAGTCTGATGCCACCTTAAATCAACTGGGGGCGTGGAAGGCTGTCGACCACAGGAACTCAGCCAGTCTGCTTAGCACCGCCACCCCCCCTTCCACCAGCAAAACACTGCCACTGATGATCAAAACGTGTTTTTCATGACATGGAAAGCAGTCCAAAGTGACAGACAGAACATGTTAAAATAATTAGGGGTGGGGTGTGTGTGTGTGTGTGTGTGTGTGTGTGTGTGTGTGTGTAGACTAGGGAGGGGTGTTCAGGTGTTGGAGTATAGATGTTTTCTCTGCATAAATAACTGGTTTGTTTCTATTGTTCATTCACTCATCATGTTGCATGTCCTTGGAGCTTATCATCTTACAAAGGGTTTTCAGATCACTCTAATGCCTGGAACTCTTACTGCATTCCTACACATCTACTAAGCCAACCTATGATGGATTCTTCTGGATCACTGTTGTTGGCTATCAACAAATTCTTTCTATGTGAGCATGCCTGGCCCCCATCATACCTCCCGAGGTCAGAGGGTAAATGTGGCATCAGATATCCCAGGGGCAGGGCAGGAGCTGAGAAAGCAAGTTTACCTGCAGCTGCCAGAGGTAGCCCAGCCCCAAGGCTGAGGATGGCTCTGTCCAGCACCAAGAGGAAGAAGGTGTAGCAGGTGGCCTGCCCTGGACACAGTGATAAGCAAAGGTTCACATGATACTCGGTGAGATAACTACTGTGTGCTTCTTCCTGAGGAAAGGGGCCTGGGCAGAGAAATACCCTTAGGGCACAGATTTAAAAGTGGTTTATTCAGATAGTAGTTTTGGCGGAAATAAGAGGAGGCAAAAGCCAAGATAGTGATGATGATATTAAGGAAAGCTAACCTTTTTTGGATTTTTCTGTTTGGGGACCACACTCAGTGGTACTCAGGACATACTTCTGGCTCTTTACTCAGGGATTACTCCTGGTGGGACCACATGTGGTGCCAGGAATTGAACCAGGATCAACCACATGCACGACTAACTCCTTACCCACTCACTCTATGACCTAAGGAGAACGAACTTTTGTTGAGCAATTACTAAATGCCAGATATTACACCTCAAGATCTATGTACATATATTAGCGTTTATACTCTTTTAAAAAACAACTATCATACTCATTTTACAGATAAAGAAGTCGAAGCAACCAACAGTTAAATAGCTACAGAGAGGCATGTAAGCCACAATTATAGGGCTAGTAAGTGGTGGAGAAAAGACCTGAAACTGTGGTTCTGGATGCCTTCCCCAAACCTTAAGAACTGCAGCACCTAAGAACCGTATCAACAACAAAGAAAATTTGCTATGGGGGTGGGGGGGGTCTCAGAGAGCCTTAACTTCTTCTGGCACTGTCCAAAGAAGGCAGAGCTGGAGGTGACACTCAGATTGGGCCTGTGAGGTTTGGTGAAGTGGCCCCAGCTTTCTGTCCCAGGGAGTGGGGGACTGGGAATGCAAACTGAGCGGGGCTGAGGAAACGCTGTTGTATGTCTCGTTTGTAGATTACATCTGTTAGTACTTGTCAGACCGTTATCAGTATATGATCTCCTCTCATCTCAACAGACTCTCTGAAGTTCAACCCTGCAGGTGACAGATCATTTTACATGTGTTATATTTTAAGTGGGTTGTTTCCTGATGCCATTGACTGAGTCACCCTCAGCTTATCAGTCAAGTTCTCTTTATTACACTATGAGCTGGCTTGGGGAAGATTTCCTGCAGAGAGACAACCCCTTCCATGGACACAGAGTGTTGTGACCTTCAATGAAACCTGAGAAACATACGGGCACAGAACAGGCGCACTCAGGGTCAGGCCAGCGAAGACTAGGGCTTGACGGGCAAGGAAAGCCCAGACAGGTGGATTTTTAACCATCTCTCACCTACAGACTGAGGTAAAGAAGAGACATTTTTTACTGATGAAAACAGGGAAAGTATTTCAGGCCACAAAGGCAAAACTAAAAAAAATATTTTTAATAATAATTTATGTGTTCATTATTAAATGAGAGTTTTCTTCAGGCATGACATGTGTTAAGTAACGGTAACTTTATTATTATTATGTCTTTACTGATCTGGGCTGGAGCAAAAGCACAGCGGGTAGGGTTTTTGCCTTGCATGCGGCCTACCTGGGTTCGATTCCTCCATCCCTCTCGGAGAGCCTGAAAAGCTACCGAGAGTATGCCACCCACACTGGCAAGCTTCCCATTGCATATTTAATATGCCAAAAACAGTAACAACAAGTCTCACAATGGAGATGTTACTGGTGCCCACTTGAGCAAATAGATGAACAATGGGAGGATAGTGCTAGAGTGCTTGTACTGCAAAACACTGATTGAAAAATCACAGCCTTGAGAGATGACCTCTTTTAAAGGGGCCTAGGAACCCCTCCCTCACACACACACAAAAATACCAGGGAGGGACGTTTCCACTGGTCTCTTATGAGAAAATGAAAAAAAAATGTGCATAAAATGCCCTGAATGCTCGCAAAGCCCATCAGGTTCCATCCAGAGTTCCAGCTAGCCGTTGCTGGAGTTGCTATGAGTTACAGGAG